GCTGATACTGAACCGCAGACTCTGACTGTGAGCAATTCTTCGCAGAGTGTTATTCTCAGAATGACAGATGGCGTGAAGCAGATGGGCGGAATATAGGGCACGCAGACGCAACGAGACGGACGCGTCAGCGCAGAGCGAAGCACGATGGTGGATAACCGGTACGCCACGGCTCTGGTGATCGCCGGTGTCCTGAACGTGCTGGCCTCTGTGTATCTGTCGCTGTCGGTCGGCTCGCCGCACTGGTTCTGGTACTGGAGCCTGCCAGTGCACGCGGAGCCCAACGCTTCGGAGCTGCGCACGCGGAGCGACGAGTTTCTGGACGCAGACTTCGACGAGAAGAGCATCAGCGACACGCTGTTCTGCATGAACGGGACGCTCGGGCTATGGTGGAGATGCGTCCAGACGCCCGCTGACGCGCACTGGACCAGAGAACCCGGTGAATATCAATAACATTATCAGCTGCTCTTACTGTCGGAAGATTATTGTGATTGTTGTCTCTCCGTAAGAGTATTCTAGTGCATTCACATTGTGCTGCTTGTGTTTTTCAGATCCAAAGATGGAGATGGATTGTGTGAGTTTCACTCTCTTGCAGCAGTTCACTCCAAAATACAAAGAGCCTGGAAACCACAACAGTGGAGAAGATCTGATACGAACCTGTGAGCAAACACACACACACACACACACACACATACATACACACATATACACATACACATACACACACCCTACCCCTAAACCTACCCCTTACAGGAAACTTTGTGCATTTTTACTTTCTCAAAAAAACACATTCTGCATGATTTATAAGCTTGTTTCCTCATGGGGACCTCAAAAATTTGGTCCCCATAATGTGATAAATACCAGGTACACTCACTCACTCACTCACTCACACACACACATACACACTCACTCTCTCACACACTCTCTCACACACACACACACACACACACTAAATGACCTCAAGCGATTATTGAAGACAAGCAAACAGTCAGTAATAAAATGACAGGCAGTAGAAAAACAAATAAGAAAACCTAACCCTAAGCATCTTCAAGCTCATAAAGTGACAGCAAATGGATACATAAATATGATGGATAAGATTAAAAACAAATATATTAACGAGATTTAAATAACAAAGCATCTACAAGCTCATATAGTGACAGCAAATTGATACATAAATATGTTGAAGAAGATTAAAAACAAATATATTAACGAGATTTAAATAACAAAGCATCTACAAGCTCATATAGTGACAGCAAATGGATACATAAATATGATGGAGAACATATTATGATACTAAGAGACATTTCATGTAATTTATCTTAATAATAATTTATCTTAATAAAATGTATTATTTATTTATATTTAAAGTTACATGTCAGGTTTGATGCACACTTTTGATATTTATTTAAAAAACTGTCAAATCATATTTAATTTGTCTAAATTTCAGTCTAGACTTTTATATGCATAATATAACAGTGTCGGTGATACACATTACCAAAAAGTATTTAGGTTTGTCACTATACAAAAATGGTATAAACTGAACAAAACCTACAATAAGATTAATAAGAATATGATGTATGCTATATACCAAATATATAACTGCTTGTATCACCACAAAATGTAATCTATATTATCGCACAGGTCTAATCAGCTAAATGTGTCTAAGGCAGGTGTTTTGGAGCTGGTTGAGCTACACTCTGCAGGACAGTGACTCTCCAGGACCGGACTCTGACACATGTGCGTCTAACCTGTTAACATGGCACAGAGAAAACACACCACATACGCATTGCAGACAGAGTATGTGTGAAAGGGCCTCATGATTTAACTGTAAGCATCATGGTTAGTCCATCAACAACTGACTGCAGGAGTGTTCTTTGTCATCTGGCTGGTAAGGTCGTCAAATGTATTTGTATAGCCTTTTCCCAAAACAAAATAAAAAAATCTTGATTTTCAACCTTATAGTCCACATGTGTCAAACTCAGGTCCTGGAGGGCCACTGTCTGTAGTAGCTCACTGGAAGCTTAGCTGGTTCAGGTCTGATTAATTAGGGTTGGAGCTGAACTCTGCAGGAAAATGGCTTACACTGCTTATATATGCAGTGTAAAACAATCAGAATCTTAATGTTTTTTTTCTCACTTTTTATTGTTTAAAAATACATACTGTAGTACAATAATGGTTAGTTTACAGGGAATTTGCAATCCAGAGTTTATGGAAAAGTGACATATTGAGGTGATCAGATATGGCCAAACTGTTCTCCTTATTCTTCACATTGCTCTGTATGTTGTTGAAATGACATTTAAAAAAACATTTATTAATTTGTGCCTTTTGTATTTGTCAATGTGATTAAAAGAATAATTGTAGGTGTAAAATTGTGAATTAATGCAAATTTTCAATAAATCAAATAAACCTAAACAATAAACCAGAATTTCTTGGTAGCCTTTCAGAAAATTGATTTATCATAAGAAAATTATTTATAAAATACATAGTGGAAGAGTTGTCATTCTCAGACATAAACTAGAACATGGTAAAACATTTGGTTTAGATTGTGATCAGGACAGAATTGTTTATTAAACTAAAATATTTTTTAAAAATTACTTTGCAATAAATTCTAGTTTAACTATTTTTCTATATCCATCTAATTTAATTTTTCACCATTTTGTTTCACTCAATAACAGCTCGGTTTTGAGAGAGAGAGAGAATATATAACAAGTTTTGCCAAAGGCCAAAATGTATTATATGCTGTACATGGCTCCTTATCATATTTAAGACCAAAGCTTATTCCATAAATTAACTTTATGTTTTACATAAAAAGTTATTAGTTATTTGAAAGGTTATTAAAATGTGGGCCTGTATTACACTGAGAAACAAAAAGGACCATTACATTGTAATGTAACCCCCAAATGGCAAGACAGGTTACAGCCTCGGAGTGAAGGATTTAATATTACATACTTTTTAAAACCTCTCAACAGTCCATTACAAGTGTTCAGACTCATGCTCCTCGTCACAATTTCCGTCAGTTGGACTGTTAGAAGAATGTCTTTTTCTGAACCTGAAACAAAGTATAATTATTTACAGTATACAACAAAAATGTGCAATATCACTAAAATGTTAAATTATTTACAATTGTAATACCACTCAATATTTGCAATATTTCTGAGTTGGCAAGTAGAGTATTTTCTCTTGTGCACAAGCAAAAACAAATACTGTTGAAAGACAATATAGAAAATATAGGCCCCAAAGCAGAAACTCAGCAGAATGAAATATACCTGTGATTACTGACACATGATTGAGTACAGCTGTGATTTCCAACGCATGAACATGGTTATAAAATGAGCTGTGAATACCAGAACTTTCTTAGGGCTGTGTCTATCTGCACGTCTGCATCATTACTCCACATGGACAAGAATTTCCAGGGGAAATAGGCAATTAAAAATAAGTGGAAACAGTTGAAGGAATCAGGGGATATATAATGAGTCACAGTGGTCATCCTCCTAAAACGATACTTGAATAATCTAGTTTTTCAGGCTTGGCACTTCAATGGAAATCAACTACTGTGACAGCTCAGAGAGCTCAAAGGATGTTGCATAACATCAACAGCCACCCACAGGAAGCACTACCACGGTCAATACATTGTCCTGACAGTGAAGCACGAAGGTTAGAGTGAGGGGGAATGATATTTAATATATAATGATGATGGGGAGATGACATTTACCAGCAGCCATATCACCCTGCAGCCCAAGACTGGTCACCCACTGAAGCTGAGCAGGGTTGAGCTGGTCAGTACCTGGATGGGAGGCCTCCTGGGAAAACTAGGTTGCTGATGGAAGAGGTGTTAGTGAGTCCAGCAGGGGGTGCTCACCCTGTGGTCTGTGTGGGTCCTAACGCCCCAGTGTAGTGATGGGGACACTATACTGCCCAAAAGCACCGTCCTTCAGATGAGACGTTAAACCGAGGTCCTGACTCTCTGTGGTCGTTAAAAATCCCAGGATGTCTTTTGAAAAGAGTAGAGGTGTGACCTCGGCATCCTGGCCAAATCTGCCCATTGTCCTCTGATCATCATGGCCTCCTAACCATCCCCATATCTGCTGATTGGCTTC